TTAACCCAACATTAACTATATGTCATCCAGGTTAACTTCTTCCATTATATACAATGAAGATTTGATTTGAGTATTAGCCCTTGTCCCTAACTGTTATTGGCAACAGAATTGAGAAGTGTCTTAGTTTGAAACAAATCAACGGTACACATACATTGCCCTGTTTAGGATACAAGATACGCGAAAACCACTTGGTAAGCTAATTTTTGTAACTTAATTTTTGAGATTGAAATTTCCCAGTTTTGCGCCGATAGCGCCCACTATTACTCTCAGTTTGCATTTCCCACCTGGAAGGACCTTAGGAGTCATTGGTTCGTGTTCTCTTTTAGTATGCTATTATGTGACGCTTTCCAAGGACATTTTTGTATTGCATATATTATGCATAAGTTTAGTGCTTGTTATTTATTTTTTGGGGCTGCTTATGGAGTTATATATTTTTCCGTCTGAATCTGGCCTTCCTCCTCTGATTGGCAGGGCTGGAGAACAAAGGAATAGCTTAGCTTCGTCCGATTATTGCGTTGCTAGTTTTCGTTCTGTTTGCCAGTTCATGGTCGTGAACATAGAATGCTCCTAGATGAGATTAAAGACAATAAAATTTTAAAAAGCATCATACATTTAGACAAGTGAACGGATACATAACACTACACACTTTTCAACCTCGATCAATTTACAATTTAAATGTCATCTTAAACTAATTATATTAGTGAATTATTGTTTTCTTTAAAAAAATATCGTTATCATGGTTAGTCATGACTTCTTACTACTAAACGTTTCGAAATTCTATCATGAATGCAATCATTTGCTATTTCTGGCTTAAATATCACAAAAACTAAAAGACAAATCAACAACAGTATTACAATTACAGAATACATACAATTCAGAAATACGAAAAAAAAATGATATTCATATAATTTTAAACTTCTAGTAACCGAAATTGTACAGAGTTGTTTCGATATATTTAGTTTTAACTAAAGAAAATCGAAAATACTCCTTTGAATCAGTAAAGTTGACTAGCAAATTTCAAACGTCTACCAACGTACTAGTCTAGTGTTTATTAGTATAATAAGCCTTTAACTAAAAGTAACCGATCATAATCAATATAGAAAAATACTGGAACTCAAGACTTGAAGTAAATGTACCATTGTGAACGATTCTTATTCATATCGCACAAAGGCTTCAAACATTGATTATAGTTATCAGGTCGATTCCAACCACGTGGTCCACACCTACCAGCTTGGTTCAGATCAACAGTCAATAACTTCATGGATTGATGTCACATTTTGGTTTAAATACTCCTAGCTTTTTACTCGATCTTACACCAGCCGAAATCACCAGTTGAAGTAGGCATTGACTAAGCTTGCTCAACACATGTTTCAACAAACTCGGTCAATGAAAATTCAAAACCACACTAACTGATTTCTTATTTTTTCCCAGTACACTGAGTCTAGCCTCAACACTAGGCATGCGATGATTCCAGTATACTCTAGAGCTGTCAAGACACATATTACTGAGCCTATGTACAAGGTAATTGCTCACTATATGAGAAGCTCAAAATAACTTTCATTTTTTTTCATCAATCTATCACCACACACTAAATGTCAAGTGAGTAAACCTACCATAATCAGAAACGTTCATTTATTCACTGATGTACTGGAATTATTAAAAGGAACTATATGGTAATTCATACCTTATCAATCATACACGGCTAATTATAATGTTGGTATTACTCACAATCATTATAAATCTACTTAATCGAACAGATTATAAATGATTAACAAAGGTGATGCGTCACAAATACCATATTCTTTCAATTAATTTGTTGTTTCGCATAGATATGTAGACTAATAATATCTGTCAATCATACAACCAAATACTAGAAGTTTATGAATTGAAGTGGTAACCACCGTCATTTTCACCAACTTTAAGTAATGCTTAAATATTATTACTTAAGTTCCAGGTCAATAAGTTAAGTGGCAAAAAGTAGGCTGCATGTGACCCCATATTAAATGCTAGTTATCGTTTATCATCTTTACTTCAAGTAGGAGTAGACGATGATAATGATAACTTTGGAAACTAAATCATTACGAAAGAAACCAATTATCTCATGTACTTATATTCCTTTTGTATGTTTATTCGTTTCGCTTTTAAATCATATCCTGCTTATTCTTCATTAGCTTTATAATATATTTGGTCTTTCAGATACGTTAACAAACCACCTATTATTAGGCTGGACTATTTTTTCACAAAACGTTTAACTACTGACAGTATATACAGTAGTATGTCTAATACGAACTATTTTAGATTGTGCATAGGTGAGAAATATTTATTCATATTATATGCTTTATAAGACATCAATACTAGTGGCAAATAAATTTCATAAATCTTTCTTGATTTAATGTGAGTTAGAGCAGTAGCCAAATGATTAGGTAGGGGTATATATAATCAAACACATAAACATTGGTACAAGGAGACATCAAAGATATATGCGCCACACTTCATCATTCGGTTTGTGTGAGGGCTGTGATATTGTCCGGATGTCCAAAACAAGGCAGATGATTTTCTGAGGGGTCCACACTATAAACCTTCGATCTAGAGGTCTAATCCAAAAGGTAGTGGAGCGACATCAGGAGATGCAGTCACATGGTAGTCGGTGACCAACGATTGGTTCATATACCATTTGTTCCCTCAGAATCCTGGATCCCATGTGCACCAATTGGTTTGGAATCAGGGTTTTCCAACTTCCCTAGATGGATCCTCCGAATCCACCAACCCGGTTGAAATACCAGACATTTGCTTTCCGCCTTCTTGATTTAGTGAATAACAACTTCGCCACGAGAAGGCAGTGAGTATAACTTCCCTGGTAGTTCAATACAATGGAATCCTTAATGACTTAAACGAAATAGATCCTACTTATACCGCATATGCTCTGTCGACAAATCCCGTTAGTAAGAACTCAGATATTAGAAGTCGAATACGAGTGTCTCGGATGTTTAGATTCCATGCATTCATTGCGGCAGACAGACAGTGATACGGAATAGAAACAACAAATGAGCCTATTCAAAGTACTACTCATTATAACCGTCAATATAACTCAGAATAGGTGATTCATAATGCGACGAAAACACAGGCGCTGAATGAAATAGTAAGTGAACAAAAACACAAAAGAGCACATAAGACAAAGAGTAGAGTCGCAAAGACATGAATATAAGGGGTATATGTGCTGAAGGTCATAATCTCATATGGAAAAGACTAAGTTACTAGAAAGGTAAAGATAACTCAAAAGTCACCTACTGTCTGAGTTATGTCCCGAAGTCAGCACAACAAAACGTCTAAAAGAATCTGAAAAGAAACAAAGCCGACAAAACTTATAAAGAAAATCATTTACAAGCAAGATCATTAAGACTGATGGATTAACTAGACAGTTTACTTCTATGTGAATTACGCGCTCATGAAGTCATCCAGAACTACAATCAAACCACCCAGTCCATAAAACACAAAACAACCAAAATTCTGTTTCTATATCGACCAAATGTAGCAAACAACAAATAAGGAATTAGTTAACCACAGATAGTTTGTCGATTAAATTTAATGTGATAACATACATATCTGCTTAGTAGTTACGTTTTTCTCCGAGCAAATGTTTACATTTAGCGAATAAACATTCAATCAGTATATTGATAAACACTAAATAACCGATTAAATCTGAAAAATTTTGATACTTGGTGTAAAAGAGTTCAATTTTAATTAATCGATAAAAACCCGGTAGTACAAGGTTTGTCGGACTGGAAAAAAGCATACAATAACGTTTTCAATGACCTAATAACAATGTTTGCTTTGTCGATAGACAATTTTGTGACAATGCTTGGCCTTGAAAGGGATACTGCTTAGTACTAAGAAATACTGAAACCGTATTGTGAACACGTTAAATAAAAGCCTGAAAATGTTTCATACCTACAGAAAATGCAAGACACCTTTAGTTTGAAGACAATTAGTGAAGTAGTTTAGAATGTAAACCACTTTACTTGATTAAACAATTTTATTACTCCCAATATGCACCGATGAAGTCTAGACAATTGTGCAAAACTTTCGTTTAAATACATATTAAAATACATTAACTACGAACAAACGATAAATCCAGATATCAAGTATGCAACACTTGACTAGTCAACTCCGTTAGAGTGGACTCACGTCACCTATGACGAAGGCGAGATATCCGTCTATCAATTAAGGGATGAATATAATGTGCAGCAGTTCGTTCTGTTTTACTTTACAGCTGCGAAACGTGGCCATTAAGAGTAGAAGATACTCGTAAGTTACTAGTATTTGATCACAGATGTCTTAGAAATATAGCTCACATCTGCGGGGATTACCGGGTAAGTAATAGTGAGGTTAGACGCAGGATATTAGGTAATGATGTTAAATCAGTCGATGAGGTTATAAATTTTCATCGACTAAGATGATTTGGCCACGTGTTACGTATGCCTGAACACCGACTACCAAGACGCAAAATACTATCTGGTGTTGGGGATGGTTGTAAGAAAGTTAGGGGGGCAAATCAAAACGTGGCATCAGTCATTGAAATCATTAACTTCTGGTTTGAGCCATGTTGGTAGATCCAGACTATTTGGTTGGGGTCCGCGTGATTATCGTAACCAAAAGTTGGAGACTCTTGGTGACATGTCTCAGAATCGGTCACAATGGCATAAGTGTATACACTCTTTGTCTTCCCTTAAAATATGAGATTAAAATTGCTCTATATCTTTCTTTCTACGAACTAATTGTTTCTTCCTGTACTATATCCTTATATGCAATCTTTCTTTTAAATATTACCACCATTGACTTAACCACACCTATGAATTCGGTGTTCATCTTGCTGTGCTAATGAGGTACGTCAACGTGGACCGATACACATATGTGCCTGGTCTTACGTTGTAGCTGACTGACTGACAACTCCGTTAGAAAAATCGTGTCCAGTAGATACAGAAAGAATAAATCAATTATATTTAATGACTTTATTTTTCAATCATTTAGAACACAAAATTTCCTTTCTTGACAATAATGACCATACTGTTTCACAGGTAAATAGGCGTTAAAGATGTAAAAACATAAATCTACAACTCTACTCAGCAGCTAAACCGATAACGCCACAAGATAGACGGCCACCAGCATTACCAGTTACTTTACTGAGCTCATGTCCACCACGGCCTAAATCATCTTCATTTTCATGAATCTAAATTAAAGATACAAAATACTTACATAAATACCAATGAATTATAAAAGAGATTTCAACTTATAGCATTCTATGGTATTGAAGTACCCAATAACATAGAAATGAACAAATAAGTTTAACAATCACTTGTATTCGGTTTAGAGTAATAAGGGTTAAAAATATTACTAATTAATTTTGTAGATGGTTATGTTTAAAAATTAGACTACTTCAGCAATGGATAAAATGGAACCATCGATAATATTCCTCATATTACAGTTGAAAATTCACTGACATGATAGCCTACAAAACGTTTTTTTTGTTGTTGAGAAACCTAATGAGGTCATGGTCAGTCAGTCAGTAACAACTTCGTATGTACGTACATCAGTTCGAGTTGTCATACCACATTAGCACAGAGATGCAGTTGTCGATTCAAATCCCGTAGTGGTAAAGGTAGTAAGAGTATAAGTAGTAATCGGAAAGATTAGGGTTTGAAGATGTTATTTAAAGAGTATAATCCAGTGAAATAAATTTGGAAAGAGAAAAAAAGGACATGAAGGATTCAGAAAATTAGAATTTGGGAGAACACAAAGAGTGGATACACCTGTGCCATTGAGGCCATGGGTCAAAATATTATGATTTGAATAAGTTAAGAATTTCAGAAAAGCGAAAACTTAAATTTAGATATGTAGTAAAAAACGAATAGAGTGAAACATCTCTTCACAATTAGTTTCCTACCATGGCTCTACACTAACATGAGCAGTTGTTTAGTGGTTATGACATTCTACTTTCGATCACCGCTATGTTTGAAGAGATTAAGAGTTCACCTAAATCTGAGGACGGAATGAAGACTCAGAGATACAATGACCAAATAAGCTAACTATTACGATGAGTCCCAGTTCCGCTAACTAGAGAGAGAAGTTCAGGCTCAGAAGAGCGAAAATGGATCCCACAATCAGCCAGGAGCACGAACAAAAACAGGCACAACTCAAGCGTATATATACAGCATGAAAATGTCCTTGGGAAACGTTACAAAATAACATATTGAGAGAGACAACGAACCAATGACATTTAAGGTCCTCCCAAGTGGGAAATACGATATAAAGGTGAAAATGGGTGCTTTTGGCGTGAAAACAAGAAATTGGAATTTCTAAAATAAAATTACAAAAATGAGACACTTATCAAGTAACTTCTGGGGATCTAGCCATCTCCAACAACCACAAAGTCCCGTGTTCAAACCCCGCCTCAATTACTTGGGCTAGCAAGAGGTACCGTTAGCCCTCACAACTAGTGTGGCCCACACCCAATTACCTGGTGAATGAGTTTATTTATTCGAGCAGTAATATGTATAAACTTAACAATAATAGTAAAACATACCAGTTAAGTGGTAGCATGTTAGATGATTTTACTCACTATTTAGATGAGTGAATGCAATTTTCATCGATAGATGATATGCGCTGATACAATACGGCCAAGTGATAACCATTAATGAAATCAAATTACTGACACAAGTGTCCAAAGAACTAATATCAGAAGATATAACGGCTGCCAATCGGAATAGGACTTTTCTAATAAAATGACATTTCCACATACAGACGCCAGTCAAATTTATACATAAATGAGTGTATTTTGGTTAGAGTGGTTATCACATTTGTGAAGGGTGAATAGAATTTTCATTTGCTGTTAGCCTTTGTAGTTATCATGGTATCGTATAAACTTCAGTGTTTTCCTGTTTTAAGTAGCTGTTTATTGCGGTTATAACAAGTAGAGACGGGGATAATTTGGAACATGTCATTCTGAATCGATAAAGTCAAGTCATAGATACCTCAACAGAAACACTTTGAAAGCACATAGTTGCCACTATTTGAAACGACAGGCACCAAACTTTCTGTCATTAGTAAATGATTCTCCAAATAGAGCTGATATTGTTGATATAAGTAGTTGGTGTTATTTTTTATCCCGAAACTGGGATAACCTTCAACGTTTGATGCAGCAGATATGAACTAAGGATAGGGAATGAAGTAGTCGAACACGTCAATAACTTCATTTATCTTTGAAGTCTGATCATAATGGCTTGGTTTTTGACCAAATCACTGCATGGATTCAAAAAGGTCGTTTGACTTTTGTCAACTTACGTCACCTATGACGAAGGCGAGATATCCGTCTATCAATTAAGGGATGAATATAATGTGCAGCAGTTCGTTCTGTTTTACTTTACAGCTGCGAAACGTGGCCATTAAGAGTAGAAGATACTCGTAAGTTACTAGTATTTGATCACAGATGTCTTAGAAATATAGCTCACATCTGCGGGGATTACCGGGTAAGTAATAGTGAGGTTAGACGCAGGATATTAGGTAATGATGTTAAATCAGTCGATGAGGTTATAAATCTTCATCGACTAAGATGATTTGGCCACGTGTTACGTATGCCTGAACACCGACTACCAAGACGCAAAATACTATCTGGTGTTGGGGATGGTTGTAAGAAAGTTAGGGGGGCAAATCAAAACGTGGCATCAGTCATTGAAATCATTAACTTCTGGTTTGAGCCATGTTGGTAGATCCAGACTATTTGGTTGGGGTCCGCGTGATTATCGTAACCAAAAGTTGGAGACTCTTGGTGACATGTCTCAGAATCGGTCACAATGGCATAAGTGTATACACTCTTTGTCTTCCCTTAAAATATGAGATTAAAATTGCTCTATATCTTTCTTTCTACGAACTAATTGTTTCTTCCTGTACTATATCCTTATATGCAATCTTTCTTTTAAATATTACCACCATTGACTTAACCACACCTATGAATTCGGTGTTCATCTTGCTGTGCTAATGAGGTACGTCAACGTGGACCGATACACATATGTGCCTGGTCTTACGTTGTAGCTGACTGACTGCAGTAGATTTGAAGACTCGTTTATAACTGGATTAACTGGTCTAAGCAGTGGTATAAGAGCTTTAATTCATTATAAAATGTTGGGGATAAGTAAACAAGCTACGTATACGAAGTTCATTTTGCTGAAAATATCTAGATATCAATTTTTAGAAAGCGGTAGTCATTAGGCAGCGTTCATTAATTTCAGAAATTCATCTGAGGAATGGAATGATGATTTCCTCACATATACCGGCATCATGAATTGCGGATATGAACATTCTAATCTGGGGTTGCTAAACCAAGATCGACTTAAGGGTTAAATATTCGCTTGTGAACTGCAGTCCCCGTCACTCATTAAACTCGATATCTCTAGGCGTCTTTAGAGAACTTGGAAATTCGTGTCTGAAAGTTAAACGGCTTAACCGCAACTATTCTGCTGAGTATAAACGATGAAGTTTTATAATAAGTTCGATTGTTCACAATAAAAATATTCCTTCCAAATAGCAGTTAACACTCATACATGATGAGACTTCCCTACAAATCAATTCATCTACATCGAGTAAGTCTAATGACTGGAATAGATCGAGACATTTCCTATTTATATGAGAATTGGAATTTTGTGACCAACCTTACTAGCTGTTCAGTGTTGAGGAATTAAAACCAATAGTATACAATAACTACGACAGTAAATACCAATACTTACGACCATAGTTCGACCAATTATTGAATGAGGGCCGTTCAAAGATATCAATTTGTCAGTCGCGTTATAAACTGCGTTTCCATCAACACCCGCCACAACATTTCCCAGGTCACCAACATGACGAATGCTATCTTCTGGTGCTCCATGCTCTTGTTTAGTTGGATTGAAATGAGCTCCAGCTGAAATACATCCATTTGTTGTATCACCAAATTCATGAACATGAAAGCCATGTTTACCAGCCTTGAGTCCACTAAATTCGGCGTGCACATTAACAGGTCCATTGTCAGTCTGAAAGTGTAAAAGAAATGTTTGGCAGTAAATCTTTCAAAAATGTAAGACGACACAATAAACTTCAAGTACGGACAAAACATTTTCCATAAGTTATTATACCAAATCAATTTTACTATTCTCTTTAAAACAATTAGTGGAAAAAATTTAAGATGGTGTATGACTACTAACTTTAAATGTGAGCCCCATAAAAGTTTGGTTTATCGAAAAATCACAAGACAATAACCCTTTAATCAACAAGATTACATCAAAAACTAATCTCTGTATCTTTAAATCAGTACTAACATCAGTAAATAAGCCATAATAATCTTGAACATCAAAATCAGTTTTGTGGAAAACCCGATGAACTAAAACTAATCAGGTCTATACAGTGGGAAACCTTGGTATTAGTAAAAAATGGAAGTTATATGAAGAAAATGGTTGAGTATCCTCTGGCTTAACACTTCAAGGCTGATAAAAGCAAAGTAGGTTAGTATATGTAGCTTCAGATTTTAATGAACAGGAAGGTTTTGTACATCACAACCTTAATGACTTAGATATACAAGTTATGAGTGTTAAAGAACTTGAAATAGATGTAATGACAGTGAATATCAACCCCAACAGCCCTTCTTAACTCATATGATCATAACTATACTTTCATTTCTTTATAATACTTTTGATGTATCGTTGTTACGTTACAGGTTTGCCAAATTGGTGAGAGGAAATAACTAGATATCATATTACTCCCAGAACAAAATCTGAATTATTTCTATTACTATTTAATTACGATTCACCTAAATAGCACTCGAAAGTTTAAGCAACTTTTAAATGACCCGGAGAAATGAAGACTGATTCTTGGTTAACTATAATACAGATTGTGTAAGAATGGTTAAGTAAAAATAAATTAACAAGCATATGCAATTTATAAATCACTAATGAACTCCATATTCACAAGTCTATCTCTCTTGAAATCACGGTATTTTGATAAAGAAATTTACCAATATAATAGAAAATAATGTTATCTATTGTATTTTAGTGCAGTAGTTTTTCAAACACCCCCAAGCTTTATTTATGTTGCTAATATGAGCTTTATTCAGGAAATTTACGAGATGTGATGGACAGACAACTGAATGTTGGTATCCCTTAATTTCAAGGCATCTGTAAGCTTACCAGGCCTTAGTACATATGGTGGTACCTGAATAAACCTATTCTCTAATTGCAGAAATAAAAGTCTTCTACTCTTTGGAATCCCGATATCAAACCCCATGAACTTACTACAGTTTATATTACTTTCCAGCTCATTTTCAGTACTTTTTCATACTCTCTATTCGTTATACCACTGTACTGCCGTGACATAAGTGGCACTTACCGGCGCTGCAATACTAAGTACAGAACTGCTAACTATCCAACGCATTAGTAACAAGATTAAGTGCTTAAAAGTCGGGTTACAAATCTGTTAGTAAGATAAGTGACAATAGAATACTAACCCGTCACGTATATTTCCAGTGTCACTGATACTCTGCAGTTACAACACATGGTTTTTCAAAGACTTACAATGATTCAGAAATACTCAATAATTACATCCTCATGAAAATCGCTCACTGAATGATCTACAGTAAGGATTCTGTCAGTTATGAGACGGTCGAGTTGGTTTGACTATAACCCTGGAACAAGTGTCTCGATGCTTGAAGGTCCTCTGCTTTAGATAGAAACGAGAACGCTATTACCATTCAACCAAACAATCAACACTCTTACATATTCCTTCACAAGTATTGAAAAATCACCCAATGGATAATACTATCCAGTATTTACGAAAAAACGGAGAAATACAAGCTTGAGGTGAGCGTATGTAACACATTAAAAGAAATCCGGTGTGAATTTGCGCAGCATGGCAGCTGGAGGTTGACATTTTTGTTTTTCACGGCAAAATAGTAACATATGTTTTGTCTTTTGTAAGAACTGTCTTGAAATTCACGGTCCAGAAGTTCTAAGCACTATTAACCATATCTACTTCCCAGCAATCACTCATTTCAGTGCTGAAAACACATAAATTGACGTAAATACAACAATTTCTCATTAGAAAGTGGTCATTCCTGAAATGGCCAGTAGTAAAATAAACATTTCAGCTAAGTAACGGCTTGCAACTAACTTACTTCCTGAGTGAATTTGACAACGCCTTTTACGCCAGCTGTACCAGTCATAACACAAACAGCTTTCATCTTGGTATGGCTTTGTAAAAAATAGGTTTACACCACACCACTTTCAAAGACTACCGCGTTTTCTTCCACGACCTTGAGAGGCCTAATCAATAGTTTCAGACTCGAAAGGACATGAAATCGGGTGACCTGTGCCAGTCTTGGGCGCTGATACTCTCTCAGCTAACCCAACATATTTTTTAAAGCGCACACTGGTGGAGCTTCAACCAAATGAGTTGTATGCGTTGACGAGTCGATAGTCAAATGACAAGTAATGTGTTCCGGGCTTGTGAACATTTTTAGAATATACTCGTGAATTCCCTGTTTTGGAAAATAAGAAAACTGAGGGCATATCCGATGCAGACTTATTATTAAGTAATTTAAAGCTGCTGTATGACTAGTGAAATGTCACTAGGCCCTAGTCAAATCAATCAGCAGTTGAGTGACTGAATGTCGAACAGTTCACCAATCCTCGTCAAGTTCAAAGACAGCTAATGCGCACCAATCAATCGAACGCCATAGACTGTCCAATGTGATGATGATCTTACTCTCCCTCTTCTACGTACTCTTACCAATATATTTATGCAATAATGTCCCTTGTTTTATACCGTTTTCAAAGCAACCACAGTACCTTGACACGACGAAAGGGTAGTCCACATTAGGTGCTGACCGCGAAGTGCTATTTCAAAGTTAGCTATTTGTCACATCATTCTCGTCTAACTTAAGTAGGCCTCCGATCATTAGACACAGGTCATCTATGTTAATGATCTAAACTGTGACCAAGTCACCGCTAGTTGCTCTATAATAATAGTGGAAATAGGTTTAGCTTGCCCAGTCGATCATCATACGACAGTTTTGCGATTCCGGTAATCAGCTTAGTTGCGGTTCTCTGATTCTTTCTCAACAGCCAACCGTCTCTTTTTGGACAGGAGCTAGCAGATTGTGTGCAACGCTCCACTATAAGATGAGAAAATACTGTATACAAAGTCGAAGCTGTTATTGCATAAAAATGGATAAAAGCTGTCCGTATTGACCAAAGGGTTCTGAAACCTTTGACGACTATCGCACGGCAACGTTTAGTAGTTTTTTTTAATTTTGACTAACAATGAGTCTCAAGTCTTTGTGTTTCAAGAAAACGGGTAGCTCACCGTTATTCACAGTGTGTGTATCTGTACCTCGGTGACCGGTATGCATCATAATATACTTGGAAGCATTCATCGGGAACTGCCAAGTTCTAGACCACCCAGATAATATCTCCAGGTCATTTTCAAGCTCCGAACTATCACCTTTACTTATTATAGCCCTCCATATCTTGGCTTCGTCAGCACATAGAAAAATCAATTATAGGAGACTAGGAAGATCATTTACACTCAATAGGATCAACACTGGCTCCAAAGCTCTACTCTGAGACACTCCAGTAAGCGCAGTTTACCAACTAGATAAATTTGAATTCAACCGCACTATTTGTTGGCCTATAACCACAAAATCTTTTATCCACGTTAATAAATAGCCTCTAATCCTGAAATTACTTGACGTATATAGCGGTTTGTTTTGAGGAACTTTGTCAAAGGCTCGCTCAAGTCAACGAAGGCTACATCTACAGGTAACTTTTGATACTTAAGAGTGCACCAAATTTCACGGGCCACTAATAAGTTTGTGAAACTCCTTAACAAACTTTTCTTTATACGATCTTCTACACTTGCGGAAGGTTGAAACACAAATATTTTGAGCTTCCCGATGTGAAGATTTTGTCCCGTCTGTCCTACATTTTCCTCCTCGTACAGGTGAGGATGCAAAACTCCTTAATGAACCACGGGGAGTTTTTCGGACTCCTTGGTGTAGTCCAAAGGATGTGCAGTGTAGTTCATTTTGTGTGCAAATTTCCGAATAAATCGCAAGATGTTTCAGTGGGAATCCTGATTCTACTGTCTAATCTGCTAACGGTATTGAACACATAGCTTCCTCTATATTTGCCTTCCAGTCGTTTGGTCTGATAAACAGTTGTTGACAACAACAAGAATGTGAAGGACTAGTATCACAATCACCCTTAACCTAGGATAACACCTAACGGAAGTTTTTGACTCCGTTCTTATGATGCGTCAATGTGAGATCTATTGAGGATGATTCAGTCTTTGTAGTATCTAGCTGCTTATTTCATATGTTGCACTAGGGCATATGTAATGACCGCATCAACTAGTTCTTGTTTGAAAGGATTCTTCGACAACTCAGATTTTTCCAGTCTATAGTGGCTGCATTAAAGTCTCTTAATATAAAACATCAACAACTTGGTGATTAAGCATCGAACTCGTCTAGAAAGACCTCATTCACCTCACAGTTTTAACTTTGGTTGACCCAAATAATCAGCAGCTCGTGTCCTTTGAATTTCAAGCGGCAACTAACTAATTCGCACGTTCCATTTGATTTGTTATCGGTAACGGTAAAAAAATATGTAGCACTTCTAATGAACAGTGCTACTCCTCCTTTACGCTTATGGGTTCTGCCGGCACTAACTAACATGAGGGTCCAATATTATGATCCCTGTAGGTTGGGTCAGCAAAGTCTCTGTGATGGCGACTACATCCATCTTGCTAGGGTCCATATATACCTAGCTCAGACAGCTTGTGGAGTAAACTCCGTAGTTTGTGTAGTAGACCCAAAGCTTAATCCAATGGCTTCGTGCCGTACCGAAACTGGCTTCAGCATCAGTATCTGCAAAAGCGTCAAAACCTGAAAATTTGCAATTCTAAGTTCCTTCTCGACAAAATTTAACCCAAGCTCTGGTTCCTTCTTAGCTTCGCATTCTTTTTATATGGGTTGCGAGTGGGAGGATGTAACAGATAGAAACCGCTGATTCATTTAGTTTACGTCCGTTATTAAGTATGAGGCGCCATTCACAGGAAGATTAAAAAACCACTTTTATCGGCCTGATTTGATTCTATTTAAAGGCAGTCTAGCTAACAAATCTTGAAAAATAAATAAAGGTGACGCCGAAATAACTCGACACATTGATTACTACAAAACCAATTTTGCAAACCGAATCATATGCACAAACGAGACCTCAACTTTCACATTCCTATTCTCTATCAGTAACAAATAAACTCATTTAACAATCGAAACTCTAACTACACTAATCGCAATCACATCACCAATATTACTTATTGGTTTGTTTGTAAATAAAGACAAACTTTCACGCACACCAGTATATCGCTGCCCCGCCTTATCAATTCACTCATCCACCCACCTTCCCACAAAATCTCACAATTACCAACACACACTCAAGTGCATACATCCTCCAAACACTCATTATTAATCCTCACAATGCATTCCTAGCTCCAGTGAGAACACATCACTTCTCAGACACTAAACCACAACGGTGCTAACAAAATTTACTGAAATACTTCACTTCATTCAAATATAAACTCTCACAAAAACACACACACCACTACCGTCAAACCATTGTAGCGTGGCGTCGAGTTGAGATTAACTGTGAACACCGCTACCCAGAAACACGTGCCAGACAAATCAGAAGGCGAGGATCGATCGTAACCAGATTTATTTCGTTGGCGATCTCGTGGTATTGAACGAATACCGAGATCGTGCCAAGGAATGGTACAAGTGAAAGCAGAAACGGGAGTACGTGCGAGCAGTACCAAAAACCGCGGAACAATAATGGAAGGTAATGGAAGCACAAAATGGCTACAATTAGCACAGTTAAACAAAAGCACATTAAAACAAACACTGGTACAGTTGGTTATAATAATAATTGTTTTTATTAAACCAGTCGTGTTCTCGTGATAAACGTGAGTCACTACAGGAGCCCCCCGCTAGAAAGGGTTTACACTTTCGATAAATAGCGGTTTGAATCGTGGGACTGATCGGCTGACGAGCGATTGTAGGACGGAAAGATTGGCGAACAGGAAAGCGATCGTTGATCGTCGAGTTGCCAACGAAGGTCGTTTTCGGAGAACAGTACCAGGAGCGATGTGTTGTATTGATTGCTCGAGTTGGCATGCTACACGAGAGTGGTTTGTATCCAGAATCTGAAGAGGGCGTTCGTAGGGTGCGGACCAGGAACGCTGCAGACGAAGGACGAAACCACGTTGAGCCAAAAGACCAGAAGCGACCGTAACGACCAAGTTCGAGACCAAGCGTGTGCCAAGCGTTCGAAACCAATATATCGACTGAGTGCGTTGACAAGAGCATGGGTGGCCAATCCAGCTTTCGCCAAAGTTGACTGAAGTCGACGGAACCAAACGGAGATGGTCGAAGGCGTGGGCTCAGGAAACAAAAAGAAAATCAAAAAAGAAGAGTGTAGCATACGTGTAGTATAGGAATAATCCTACACCGTATCGGTAGCTGACTGTGCGACTATTCGCGGAAGCGTACGGGTAACCGTACTCGGCGACCGGAACGTGAGACGGCAGTCTCGTTCGCGTCGCGTGAGCCTGCAATCTCATCCGAGGTCAGAGGCGGCGTGGTCTGCTGATCTGGACGTGAGACTATCGTCTCGTCCGTAGACGGTGCAGATGACGCGTGCTGTTGACCGGGACGTGAGAATGAGGTCTCAGATGCATCTAGCGTGGGACCTGAAGATTTAAGGATCCCGCTAGGTTTAATAGGTCTAGCATTGAATCTCAGGTTACCAGATAGGGCACTGTCATCGACGTGTGCTGGTTTGAGACGATCAACGCTGACGATCTCGACGCGTCCATGTCGATCAACCTTGAAGGTCTTTTCGTGACGAGCGATCACGTGAAAAGGGCCTTCGTAAGGTTGTTGCCAAGGTTTGCGTACCGAATCTACTCGTACAAAAACATGTGAACAGGTAGATAACTCTCGAGGGAGAGCGACCTGTCGATGTTGTATTCGAGTTGACACCGGAGACAGCGTTCACATAAATGCAGACAGTCGACGGACGTTGTCTGATTTACCGAAATTAGGTCTGCTCCGTGGTGTGAAGGATTCTCCGGGCAGACGCAATGTCGTGCCGTATACAAGTTCAGTGGCGGAACATTGGATATCTGCCTTTAAGCTCGTTCTCCCCCTAAAAGAACGAGCGGTATGGTTTCGTGCCAGTTGCCGTTTTCGTGTGCTCGTAGAACACTTTTA